TACAGTGTTGTTTTTTAATTTTTTTTTTTTTTGTTTTTAAAAATCAAATTCTGTATAATTACATCAACAAAGTATAACATTTTGATGACAGGCACCGGTGTGTCTTTCGACGAAGTAATAAGCTTTTTTGTTGCACTTTTGATGAGGAAGAATGGATGTTCAAAGTGTTGATAAACTGTCAGATTTTGATCAAATATTTAATGAAATCATTAAAAGTTTGATGACAAAAGAGAGAAGGAAAAAAAATTTGAAAAATGATGATGTAATGATCTGCCAAACAAAATAACACATTTTTTGGTTTTCTTTTTTCTTCAGCAGTCTAAATAGACAGCAGTGAAGAAGGTGTAGTGGGGAAAAAAATTAGTTGAAGCTTATTCCATCTGTTCTTGTAGTTTAGTTTAGACTAATATTAAGAAATAAAACCGACAATTTTTTTTTGCAGTACTGTTTACTGTTAACAATACTATACAGACGGATTACTTTTAGCTGCCTTTGTCATGAAAGAAAAAAAAAAACTAATGTTAACTATTTGTATCTTCTGAATTACCGGCTATTATGAAAAGTTTATAAAAGTTTTTGGATGGACAAGTGTTCCGTTTGCTCCTGACAAACAGATTATTTTTTTATCATTTGGTTTTCAGATGCAGGCATTTCAATCAGTAGAACAATGTTTGATTGCAACGACAACAATCCCAATACCACTGAACTAAGCTCAGCGAGACGAATACAAGTTGAGATTGCTCATTAGAATTAGCATATCGCAAAGACATTTCAATGAATGAAAAATATAGATATATAAAGGAAAAATGCTTTTTCTATTTTTTTTAACATTTAAATGAAGTTTTGGTTTTTTAGTACTTTCTCGTAACAGATGTACCAAAATTTATTTGCTTGACCGTGTTGTTGTCTTTTGTGCTGGCGTTGTTAACGTCAAATATACATTAAAAAATAATTTTTCTAAGATCTAAAATCAATTTTGTTATTTTAAAGAATGTTACTGACGTAGAAACGGAAGTACAGGTGTCACTAGCAAATTCCCGGAAAAGGCGAAGCAAACGGGCGGTATGAAAGTATTTGCTCTTCATTTTTTTTTCTTTTTTTTTGTCAAAATTGACACTTTCTGTGCTGGGCTATCGGTGATGCTAGACAGAACTATGGCAAAAATGAGGTCAATGAAATAGCTAAAACAAAAAATTTTTATCAAAAAAAAAATTAGCCGAAAAATGCTTAACAGTTTCAGTATTTACTATCTGTCGGTGTTTACCTTTTTCAATAAAAACTGCAGTTGAGACTCTATGAGAGCGGGGACAAATTCGCTGTTTTCAGTTTGTTGTCTTAGAAGGGAAAAAGGTTTAAACATTCTGTAGTTTCAGACTGAACGTTCAAGCGGAAGATTCGATGAGGTGCCGGGTACTGTCAGTGGGCGCAGTTTATTCGGACTGCTCGGCGATCAACGTTTGTTTTAGAACAGCTAATTTTATGCTGAAATTTGTTACTATTTTTACTTCTTTAGAACTAAAAGACAAAGGGTGTATGATTATAAATTGTAAGTTCTCTAAGTTTTCTCACATAAATTCATATATATGCAAATTATATTTTGATAAAGCTACTTGATCAAAGAACAGATGGAAAAATTAGAATTTAGGCAGAAAAGATAAGCTTCAAAGGACCTGCTATCTGATTTATATTCATATCACAGTGGAATAAGTGGAGAATTTAGTAATGAATAAAATGTTTGCTGATTTTTTTCTTGACAGTTTCTGCAAGTAAAATTTAAGCAGCACATGGTTTGTTTGAGCGACATGTGAAATTCTGATCAGTGATAGCCCAGAATTGAAAATTTATTTTATCGTATACAGCTAGTCATCAACAGGAGTATCAAAACTTTAAAACGTTTTATACTCTCTTCTTTGTTGACTTTTTTGTCAGAAAACTTGCTTATGCAGAACTTTTTTCAACGAATAATATTTAATGATTTGAATAGAATCTGAATTCAGTGAAATCCGAGGTTTAAAAAGTTATTGTTAAGAAATAAAGCATGAAATATATTTTTAGTAATTACTTTCTTGAAACGAAAGTGACATAAATAGAGGTATAATGGTGTTGTCAATTATGATAAATTCATAAGCTTTAATCTATGCATATGGCAGTCTGTTAAATATCAGTTACACCAAAATAAGATGTCTAATTCACTAAAAATTTATTCTTAATTATTGTCTGAAATCATTCGTTGAAAATAATATTTAGTAATATCGTTTCAGGTTTTCTGGTGACACTCGCCGTAAGTGCAGTTGGAATACTTCTTTGCTGTGTCTTTCTTTGTTTCCCTCAGTTGAAAAGTAGTATCAAGAGCAAACTAAATCCATTGGAAGAGGCTGAAGAAGCAGCAGTTGTGCATTCGGCTTTACCTTCTATTTATTATGCGTCAGTGTCTGGGACTGGGCAACCAGAGTCTTATGATTCGTATTATTCAAATGCACCTGAATCTTACCCAGATTTTAGACTTGACGCTTATTCAACACTGCCACGCTGGTATAGTAAACTATACAATGACCCTTACAAATCAGTTTATAGTACGAGTTATGGAGGAATGAGCAGTAGAGAAGGAACTAGCAATCCTAATTTTTATTGCTAAAAATCGAATTATTATTTACTAATGACAAACAAAAACAATCTTTGGACTATG